TCCAGATTTAGTCGAACTCCAATGTAGATGCCGAACACCGGGTGAAATATAACAATAATAAAAAGAACCTTCACGTCCTCCTATCAAAGGTCTTTTTTTTTTTTTTTAAAGTTGAAGCTCTTGATGCCATGTCATGTCTGATCACCTCTCTGATCTCCAAAACTTTTTCGACCTATCTCTATCTGACTACCTCTCTTCCGACCCTCTAGCATCAGATCACCTCTCCGATCTCCAATACTTTTTCGGCTTATCTCTGTCTCTCCTTTGATCCTTTAGCAGTAGCTTCTCATATCTCCCCTCTAGGGTTTCTTTTTATACATCTCCTCTTAACATGCTTAAATAATTTATTCTCGCCTTTCATATCTTTTCATCACATAGGACACTCCCATCTTATCTTGAATATTCTTATTCAGGATCATATCTTTCATAGTAAGCTCACAAATCCATCTAAATACAACTTTAATAAACCTTTACTATTACGTTTTTAAGTAAAGATTAAACTTTCAACATTAACCACCAAAGGTACTGAATTTTTTTACCGTTTAAAAATGCTTAATTAAGACCTAAATAAGCATAAACCAATCGGAGATTTTGTATTATATTTATATAAGTTGTCATTGTAGTAGTTCATTAAATTTTTTATTAAAACACTCAAAATTCACTACATTTAGTGTGTTCACATCTTTGTATTTTTTTATTTTTTTTTGCTGACATACATCTTTGTGGTCATACTGGGATTGAAAATTAATTGCTTCTCCTCTGAAAACATTTTATAAAGTAAACTACTGAACATGCCGAACATTAATGCAATAATAATAAGTTCTTTTGACTTTCTAGAAGTTTACCTACATATTCTAGAAATAATTAGAGTGAATTTATTGAGTTTTTTTTTTCTATTTGTGAATCTAACATGTTCGACTATAATATATTGGTTCAAGTTGTTCCATTTTATTATTCGATCAGGTTAGCATTATTATAATTTCTTCTCATATAATTATATCATCGTTGTTTTTGTAGACAACTTCTAGAAGCAGAATAAAATGTTTAAAAATGTTTCCTTTCTTTTATGAGGAACCTTTACATATAGCCACTCAAAAATAGTCTAATTACTCTCCATAGCTATAATTTAATAATTACAATTCGTAGCTACATGTCATAGGGAGGAGAGCGGCAAGCGAGACTGGGAGAGAGAGGAGAGAGGCGAGCGTGAGAGGGCAAAAAGTGGGAGAGAGGTGAATTGTATATGTATATCGATTAGATAATTGTATATTATACATATGTATTTGTATATATGGCAAGCGAGATTGGGAGATGGAGCAGAGAGGCGAGTGAGATTGGGAGAGGGAGGAGCGAGGCGAGTGCGATTGGGAGAGGAAGGAGAGAGGCGAGTGAGAGAGGGCAGAGAGGTGAATTGTATATGTATATCAGTTAGATAATTGTATATTATACATATGCATTTGTATAGAGAGTAAATTTTAGGTTTAGCAAACATAAAAATCATATTTGTATGCTATAACTATAGTTTGTATAATTGCGCTCCATAACAAACTTTATGTTTGCTATGGAGCATCAGATTTGTATAAATCGCTGGCAACCTCTTGTTTGTATAAATAGCTGGCAGCCTCTCAATTCAATTTTATGTGTTTGTATATCTGCATGAAATTTGAATTTGTATAAAATTGAATCGAAATAAAACGAGTGTATATCAAATCTCTCTCTCGCTTTATACAACACAAATTATACATTATAATTTGTATAATATGTGTTTGTATAAAGCGAGAAAGAGAGAAAGGCAAAAGAGAAATGGGCAGGGGAAGATCTGTATTTGTATAATTATAACTGTATTGGACGAAAAAATATATATACAGTTTTCTCTCGCTTTATACAAACACAAATGCATCTCTCGCTTTATACAAACACAAATGCATTCTATACATTTGTGTTTGTATAAAGTGAGAGAGGCGAGGGAGAGTCTGGCGAGCGAGAAAGGGAGAGTGGCGAGCGAGAAAGCTGGGGAGAGAGGCGAATGACAATTGTTTGCTACGGGTTACAATTAAATCAAACTGTGGTTATAACATTTAATTTGAATTAATAGTTTGCTATTTTATATAATTTTCCCTTGTATATATGGCAAGCGAGATTGGGAGAGGGAGGAGAGAGGGCAGAGAGTGGGAGAGAGGTGAATTGTATATGTATATCGGTTAGATAATTTGTATATTATACATATGTATTTGTATATTCTGGCGAATTATACATATACAAACATGACTAATTATACAAACTCGAAGTCAGCCCACGTAATTAATGTATAATGTTAGTCGCGAGTGGTAATTATAACAAACTATAGCTATGATGAGTAATTAAGTAGTATAAGTTTGCTTAACCGCGTAATTTTCTCTATTTGTATTACAAAAAACTGGACTTACGGTGTATTCTCCATACACAAGCCCAACACTAATTTTTGTTGGGAAAATTGTACATAATGGCGAACTATTAATTCAAATTAAATGGTATAATCACACTTTGATTTAATTGTGTCCTGTAGCAAACTGTTTGCCAGCGCCTCTCTCCCTCAAACTCTCGCTCGCCACTCTCCTCGCCACTCTCCTCTCTCGCTCACTCACTCTGTGCTCGCCTCTCTCGCTTTATACAACAGAA